GTGTGTAACATTGCTTTTAAAAATTTCTTGGCACCTGAAGCATGGAGAGTGGGTAAATATAACATTAATCTTTAAAAAAAGGTTTGGGAGAATCCAGGAAACCAAGAGCTTGTAATCCTGGCATCTGTAGTACATAAACTAGTAGAAGCTGTAATAGACAAAAATATGTTTGACAATGAGATAAACACAATCAGTTTGGGAAAAGTCAGTGTGGTTTATATGAAGACAGGATGTTTGTCCTCCAAACCTCTTGGAGTTCTTTGAAAAGAATGTAGACAAGAGTGAAAGAGTTGGTACTAGATTTCTGTAAGACTTGTGACAAAGTTTAGAATACCTTACTGAGAACTTATGCAGACACTGCAAAGGAGAGAAAGTCCTGAGATGTACAAATGATTGGCAAAGAGATTGGAAACAAGGTGAGAGCCAGGGAGTTTCACAGTTCAGTTCTGGGATTTCTATTCAACCTATTCAAGAATGACCACTGAAATCAGGGAGAGTGAGACTTCAAAATAGCTTGTTAAAATAAAATTTTTCAAGATAGCAAAGATGATGGTTAACAGTGAAGTATTGTTGAAAAATCCTGAGACTGAACAGCTGGCCAGTGAAATGGTGGATGAAATTTCAAGTAAATAAATGTGAAATGAGGTATGCAGAGAAATGGGGATTGTTGTGCATCTGAAATCATGGGCTTGGGGTTGACCAAGATCTTGGATTTATGTCATATAACCTCATGAAAGCATCAGGTTGAGCTTAAGAGAAAAATACTAGAGGCTAAGGAAAAAAAAAAAACCCAACAAACCAGGAAAACACACTGTTGAACAGTTTTGGAGAGAGACATGGTGTTTGGTTTTAGTCTTGTTTTGGTTGGCTTGTTTGTTCTAATTTAAAAAAGCCTGATGTGCTTTCACATTGAGTACAACACGTGGTTCTGCTTTCTTCATACTCGAGGGGTGTACTAGACATGGGAAAATTCCAATAACATCTTCTGTATAGGATTGAATGAGAAATTGTCCTCAGCTTGGAGGAGACATGAGAAGCATAGCAAAGGTGGAAGAGCTGATGATTGCCTTCCCCTACACAAGAACAATGGGTTTCCAAAGAAAGCCTTGGCTTGAACCATCATGAATGTTCTTACCTCTTCTGTCGTAGAGTGGTTTTTCTCATGTCCAGAAGAATCATCTTTCCTTAGGAATGCTGCTTTCCTATCTGAATTTCTTTGCTGTAAAGGGAAGGCAAAGTCCCCCTAGGTAAAGTCTTGTGTGATAATTTATGCATTCATTATGCTGGCCCAGCCTCCAAATAGAGGTTTGGCTGTGGAGGGAATTTCCTCGCCCAGATGAATCACTCACTGGTATTTATGCCATACATGCATGATAATCTTTTTGATCTCTGTAGGCATCTGGGATTCTTCTGCTTGGGTAACTGGCAGCCAGCCTGGCTCATCACAGCTGGCAGCTGCAAAGGTGGAGACTGGCTAGAAATAGCTGGAAATTGATAAGACCCTTTCTGGAGACCTCTCTTCCTTTTGCTTTGAAGGTGTTGCACGCTTGATTGTCACGTTTGCACCAAATGCTTACAGACTGCCCAGTGTCATCTCTGTTCACAGAGCTCAGGGAGCTTCCCACAGTTTCCATAAGAGCTGGGTAAGGTGGGGAAAGTGGGAACAGGGAGTTAGAAAAGGCACCTGTGGACTTCAGAGCACCTGCATAGTCTTACTGCATGCTAAATATACTGACTTTTCTATCTGCAAAACCCCATCAATTTGTGGCTTAAAGAACCTGGGGAAAGCATTGGGGTGGACAGTGTTTTATCACTAGCAGGCTGGCTCCCACCTACATTAACACATAACCCCATCCAAAGGTCACTTGGGAGGGCTAAGCCGGACTTTTTCGTATTGTGTAGGCTTCCTCTCTTTTCTGTGCATCATTACAGACATGAGCTCTGCCTTGTCCCTGTGCAAGGAGAGTGTGATGTTTAGGTCATAAAGATTAAGTCTTGCATTTGTCCCTGGACTTGAGAAAAATTAGCCCTTATCAGGAAAGCCTGTAAAAGCAGCTCTTGTCCAACTCATTGCTACTTTTCTGTCATTCCCCTTTAGTCCTGTTTCTCCAGCACAGTCCTATCAGCACGCTATTATTGTCACCTTTAATAATCCATGTATGTATAGCAGAGAGGTGTTTTGGTGGATCTGCATCTGCTTTGGAGTCCTTGGGGCTTTTCCTCTAAGGAAGTTATGGAGAGTAAATGGTCTGCCAGAGTTTGGAGTGGTGCTGCTGGAGTTGTGGAAGAGAGAAGTGGTGTGAAGTACCTGAGATCTCAAAATGGTATTGCCAGAATGTTGACATGTAATTGAAGTGTGCAGAAAAAGAAGGTGGAAAGAAAAAAGATCCTAAAAATAGATTTCCCAGCAGTTTTAAAATCCGATTTTCCTAGCGTTTGGTTTCTAGCAGCTCGTAATCAGCTAATGCTTGTGCTGTCAAAGCAGGTGCTTGACCATCTCTGCGGGTTCCGCGTTGTGTGTTTCAGCGACTGGTGGTTTCTGAAAGCCCTGCCTGCTCAGCAATGAGCATAAATGCTCGTGGGTATCTTGGTAATGTGGAAAAAACCTGCAGGTTTCCCTCTGGGAAATGTGTGGGCAGAGTGCCGCTGTGTGGTGACACAGAGCACGGCGTCCTTGGCACGGGGTGGGGGTAGAAAGAACATCTCTGAAGTTAGTGCAAGGATGCCCGATTTCTTCACAGGGCTTGGGTTCTGCCTGGTAAAGGAGCAGGAGCAACACTCCAGATGCTTCTATTTTGGTTATGTTATTTTTCCTTCCCTTTTCTCCCCTTTTGACAAAGGTAAGGCAAAACGTGTTCTTTTCTAGTTGTGTGTTAATGTCATGTCTTTCCTCCAGGGGCAGGGAACTAAGGAGGTAAGAACAGGACACATACAGATAATATGCTGTGTTCTGAAATTTTGTCCAAAAGATGTTACAAATTGTCTCAGCTGTAGACAGCACAAATTCAGGTACACAGGGCTGTGCTTTCCTGTACCTCTGCCAGGATCACCAGGGCTGTACTGTGATCATACCTCTATTACAGTGTGCATTCTGCACCCACAGGGCTTATACTGAGACTAAAGTTGTCTTAGTCACTTGTCTTGGCATCCTCATAACTTGGTCATTTGGCTTTGCTAATAGGTCTCACACCTTAATTCTTGCTTTTCAGTGGTTTTTAGCTTATATATGTCTGTGGATAATTTGTTTTGGGTTCTGCTCCAGGGAAGGGAAGGCTTCCTTCTGAAGTTGTTTGTTGTAAGACTGAATGGAAAAGAGAACAACATTAAATAGCAGCCACCTTGCCAGGGGCATAGCCTGCAGGCTTTCCCTGTGCTATAAACCAGGCACTGGCTCTGCAGCTGAGCCATCCATATGTTCAGTGGCTCTTTGCAGACATCATTCCAAAGCAACCAGGCTTCATGAGCTCTTCAGTCTGATCATAAGAAATTTGGTAGAATTTGGAATTGTATGTGAGCTTCCCCTTTTCACTGTCCCTTTCACTCTCATAAGGAGGATACAATTACTGGTATATTGAAGCTGCACATGGGATATGTGTTGTTAAATCAGGGAAGGGTCTGCACTGCACCTTTAAATACCCACACACCCCCTTTATGTGTGTGCTGCTCTTCCCATCCCTTGGAGGGTGACCAAAGGGGATAGTCATGGGCCTGAGCTGTCTCCCTCAGAAACCTCTTCTTCCATATGTACACCACCCTCCACTCTTTTAGTTTCCCATCCTAGTCCTCTTTAACACCCAGCTATCTGCTGGTGGAAGGTTCAGTTTGTGTTACAAAGGTCCTTCAAGGCCATCCCCAGGCCATCTTTCACAATGTCTCCACATGGCTTTATCAACCAAAGTGTGAGCTCTTTCTAATTCTAGCTGCACCTTTCTTGCCTGCAGCAAAGCTGTTCCCTCTTCACATCCTCAGTTATCCCACCTTCCTTGTCTGCACATTGTCAGGAACAGTAACTGTCTCTTGCTATAAAGGTAGAAAAAGGTCACCCTTCTTACAAGCTGACAGTGCTTATGGCATTACTTTGGCAAGATTTATTCTTCCTATTGCAAGAATCAAATTCTTTCATCTCTGGTAATTAATTGACAGAATTTGGGGTCTGAAATTGTGAAATATTCTTTAGCTTTCCCAATATGAATCACAAGCCTTGTAGCTGTAGAACCAGCTGGATTAATAATACCCAACCAGTTCAGGAGATTTTGCGGCTGTAGAGGACAAATAAAAATTGATTCTGGTTCCCAGAAATCACCTGTTCTGGCCCTTTCATAGATAATTCTGCATAAACATACTAAACCACAATTTAGAAACTTCGTGTCACAGAAAAGAGGAGTTGCCATACACACTTCATTTCTCAGGGAATTATTGTTACCATCTATGCCAATCCTACTGTGTGTGTGTATGTGTGACCCATTTGTAGTTTCTCCATGGCAAGAAGCTCCACAACCTCATAACTTATTACAGTGCTTTGCTGTCCTGACCAGTTAAGTTGTTAGACTTTCCTCAGTGTTCAACTTAACTTATGCATTTAAGCTAACTCTTTGTCCTATCCACATGTTACTACTTTCCTAGATGCTGCACTACACTGTGTGTAGGAAAGTCATTATAATGTCCTTTCTGCTCTCTTATCTCAAGGTTTAACAACCCAGTTTCTCAGTCTTTCTTCACAGGCCATGTCTTCTAAGTCTCTGATTTTTTGGAGGCCTTCCACTAATTCCACAACTTTCTCAAGTGAGATTTTGTAACCCTGTGTCATCCAGAGAGTTTGAATGAAAGAATTAAGAAGTATAGTATTGTGGGGCACACTTCCATTACAACGATAAAATAGAGCATGGCAAATCTATTTCTTATCTTGTGGAAATCACACCTCAGCCTAATCTCCAGTTAAAATATTCATTAATACAGACTGAATAATGAGGACATACAGAACAATTACTCTGAATCCAGCTTTCCTTATACTTAGGAGATACGGGTTTGTGCACATAAGAGGTTCTGACAAGATCAGAATAGCAGTGAATGAAGCTTTTTATACACACCTGTCTAACAGAAAGGGATTATACACAAATGAATCTACAGTTGGTGTTAGCCTACATATCTCACACTGTGCCACAGTGACCGGTCTGGTTTCTGGAAGAGTGAAGATAAGGAATAGGAATACAGGCAGAGACCTGCACTGTATTGTGGTAAAATCTGGATGCTTCCAAAAGGAAACTAGTAAGGGTTTTGCAGGCACAACCTTGTGGAGGTCAAGTCTTGCTGCAAATACATGAAACTCTCTGGGAACATGAATGTCTTGGCAGGTCACTCAAATTGTGCTAATTTGACCCCATGCCATCTAAGGAATCCTTGTACTCTAGATTTGTCTGCTGCTGCTTTTCTGCTGACTGGTTTAGGTCATGCTTGTTCCTCCTTCATGTGACCTCCAGAAGGGGCATTTCATCAGAAGGTGCAGTTGAGACCAAGCTTCAGCCCCTTGGCCAGGAGCTGCTCATCCCCATTGCAGGACAGCTGCTCTTCTCCAGGGTGCTCTGGGACAGGAACAGGGTTGCACACAGCAGTGAGGAACTGGCCAAAGAGTGAAAAGAAACAGCAGTGTTTACTGAATGGAAGGGACAGCTTGTGAAATGAAAAAAAATATTTTTGTGTTCTCAAAGGACTCCTGTGATCCATGGCTGTTAAACCACAGCAGTGGTTTAACAGGGCTCAAGGCTGCTCCTGAAGTGGGCACACTGCTTGGTACTCCTCTTCCTAAAGGTACTAATATTTGGAGATGAAGAGAAGAGTACAACAATGTTGGTTGTTTTGGTTTTTTTCTTTAAGGCTTTAGAGTGTGGGATTTAAGGATCTCTGTCTGCTTAATTTAAAAATAGTTTGAGTGGACTTGGTAACTGAGCAGGGGAAGCTGGGTGCTTTTCTGAGAAAAGTATGATAGGAACCAGCATCTGCACTCTGAAAGCACAAAGTAAACTGTAAATTAGGCACCCTGTTGAGAGGGATCAGCCACTGGAATGCCTGTCCAAAGGTGTGGTACATTCTCCATCCCATGAGACCTCATTCTTTGCAGCTCTCTGAAAGGAGGTAGGAGCCAGCTTGGAGTTGGCCTCTTCTCCCAAATAACCCATGGCAGGATAAGAGGAAATGGCCTCAAGCTGTGCCAGGGGAGGTTGAGGTTGGACATCAGGAAGAATTTTTTCACAGAAAGGGTTGTCAGGCACTGGAAGGGGCTGCCCAGGGAGGTGGTGGAGTCACCATCCCTGGAGGTGTTCAAGAAACAACTGGACGTGGCACTTGGTGCCATGGTTCAGTTGATGTGGTGGGATTTGTTCAAATGTTGGATTTTATGATCTTAGAGGTATTTTAAAATCTTAATGATTCTGTGATTGTCTTCAGGAACACATTTTCTGGACTGATGGTTCTGTCAAGTGTGAGATTTTTGGGCTCAGTCCAAGAATAATGATCAAATGTCAGTCATTTATATACAAAATGATCAAATAATTTCTCTTAGCCTTAAATACTTAAGAAATTATGAAGTGCAGATATTAAAGACACTATTCACCAATATGTGCCCAATAAAGATTAAATAGGACTCCATGTTCCAATTTTGTATCTGACATTTCCTAACTGTGAGTTTAATTTCTACAATATTAATAATGTTCTTTAGCACTTAAGGACTGTCAACCATCTCTGGTTTAGTGTTGTAGAATCAAGTTTAATACTGAATTGCTGGGAGGTATTTGTATGAAATGCAGATTTTTTCATTTTGTACAAAGTGTAACAATTCAAGTTCTGACTCAGTCATTATGATTATACTACAGAAGCTTACAGATTTGTCTCTAGTGATATTTAAAAAAACTTCTTAAAAGTCATTTAAAAATGAAAAATTGTTTGCATATTTTCATATGGAACAGTAGTGCATATGCAGGAGGATATTTGATAAATTATATATATATGCATTTAAATTAAGAGATAATAATTTTCAGGTACTTGATTTCATACACTATTTAATAATTTCTGGATTAGCCATTGTTACAGGGGAGATCAAAGTGCTCTCTTAGCGTTTCATGTTGATTTTACTTTATTAGTGGTTTGGAGCTCCAAACAAAATCTTGAGCCACTCTGCCCAAGACATTAAATTCCATGGTGGGAAATGAATCTCTTCCCCAAAAAAATATTGTCTAAATAAGCCAGATGTTCTCTGGTTTGTTATCTCCACATGTGGGAAACAGAGTACAGAAAAAAGGTGCTGTTCCTGAGGTCATATGGGAGGCCCAGGGCTGGACACACTTCCAGAGCTCCTGTGAACAGCTTTAACCAGAAGATCATTCCCTGTTTATAAGGTCAAGATCAGTATTTTTCCAGACTGCAGTAAATTATTTAGGAGCTGTATTTAGATTTAGAGAAGTTACTTAGGAGCTCAAGTGATGCAAACCTTTTGTATGGATGACTGAGGGAAAAAAATTGTCTTCAGTTTATTCAGTGGTACTGTCACTGTAAGCAATTTACTACTTGACATAAAGAAAAGCCTCAGATTTTGTCTCTTAAGATACTGCAATGGGTTTTGTTCAGGTACAGACTGAGATATTTGAAGTCTATGGTTTTGCTAATGGTGATGTGCCCAAAAAATCCCAATATAGGTGTCTGGAATATGTCAAGGCAGTCATGAAAAGTCTGTGTTTTCCTTTGCAAAATACTTTTGGGGACTTTTGTGAGATCTAATGGTTGTTCACAGAATTAATGCAAAATACGTGACTTAGAGCCATACAACAACTCCTTTCTAAATATGTTTATGCTCAACTGAGCTCAGCTTCCTTTTTTTTATTTGTGGCTTAAAGTAAATGCCCTGAGCACATTTTGCACTCAGATTAATAACAACTTTATCATCACAAGCCTTCCTGGGGCTGCCCATTTAGGGTTTTTGTTTTGGTTTGGTTTTGTTTCTTTCATAAAACAGGGTCAGCATGGTTCTCTCTAGCATTTGTAAAGAGGGAAGTACATGAATGATCTGTCCCCTTTATTCAGATCATTCATTTCACATTTGGAAGCTGGCCTTATTTTCAGTAATCAGGCTGGTACGTAGAAGCTGGCTGGTGTAAGTGGTCTGGTTGGGGATTTTTCTGGTTTTGGTTGTTTTTTTCAGTTTGTGATTCCAAGCAGGTCAAGGGGAGCTGGGGTTTGCTTGCAGTCACTGCTCAGGACTGCCATCAGAAGGAGATCTCCGGCAGCGCTCGCGCTGTTTCCATAGCACAAACTGGGAGCGCAACCCACGGCGCTGGGCTCGGTGTGAGGCTCCTGAGATGAGTGTGTGCAGAGACCTGGGTTAGCTGCCTCTCACCGCTGCAGGGGGCTCTCAGCTGCTGGATAGCCTCTTCTTTTCTCCTGCCTTCACTGCTAACTCTGCTGGGGCCAAGTCAAGCTGCCCAACTTCTCAACGGGTAAATCTTGTTCCTTTCTTACCGCGTCATCTGAAATGCGTATGCAGAGCCTGCCTGCGAGATGCTGGGGTTTATTAAGGTGTGGGGATTGATGAATTGTAGGTTGGTAATTGAGAAAACCTACTTTCAAGCAGTCTGAGGTACAGAACTTGCTACCTCATATGTCCCTGTGCCAGGTGCCACAGAGCCAGTCCTCGGCAGGAAGTGCAGAGGGCCGTTTTCTGGCTTTGCACAAGTGGACAGTGTTTTGCTGATGTCAGTAGTTGAGCTGTACAAGATATTTTGTAAAGGAAAAAGGCTTGATGCTATCTCAAATAACTGTGATTTTTAAATTCTTACTAAACACAGATTTCTGCTTTTTCTGTTATTTTCCTGTAAATACTGTTGGGTTTTTCTCCACTGATTTAACTCTGCAGTGCTTGGAGCGCTTTCTTTTTGATGTGTCTGGACAGAGACTTTAAGGTAAGGACGAGTCCTTTAGCAAATGTTTGAGTCTTTGGACAAATTCCCTGAGGGAGAATTCTAGCAGGCTCAAAATGTGTAATGCTAGGGAGTCTACAATCCACACAGGGGTCTCACTGATCTGGCTTGATAATTTTGGGAGAAGTGCTGGAAATGTCCTGAGTTTGAATGAAAGGTGTTTCAAACCCCAGGCCTCTTCACTTGGGATCCTGGGTCTGGTGCAAGGGTTTCCTTGGATAGAGACAGATGAGGTGTATCCCCTGCCTGCTGGGGTTTGGGAGAGGCTGGGAAGTGCTGTGAGACTCTGGGGAACCCAGCTGCTGCTCAGAGGGCTCTGTGCCAGGTTCCCAGGGCAGGGAATTCCACCTGCCAGCTTTGGGCCAAACTGGTCCCACGAGCCTTCATCTTCCTGGGGAAAGAGGGTGAGGGTGTGTTCTGCTGCTCAGCAGGATGTGGCTAATCTGAGCTGTATTTCTTCAGTTGCCGCCGCCTCTCCTTTGTGCTCCTGACCACGACATGGGGGAGGCTGCTGGTGCATTCCTCTAATGATGCCTTGTTCTCTTCTCTGCTGCTGGGGGTTCTTAGTGTCACTCTGCAAAAAGGAATTGCTTAACCCTCAATCCCTCCACCCCAGGCTGAGGGAATTGTTAATAGTTCAGTGCTGTTCCATAATCTTGGAGAGAAAATGTGAAGCGTAGAAAGACAACTAGCCAAGTTCAGAGTCGGGAAGAGATTCCAGAACTCTCTTCCTCTCTGATCTCGATATCCTCACAGTGCTTTTCCATGGCTTCCTGGGAAGGTTAACTGCCTCTTGGTTTGCCTGCTCTGACCATAAGAAGCCTGGGGCTTTGGTAGGGTTTGGAAGCTGATGATGCTGAGGTAGGATTGAGGTTGAACCTTTCACTGTGGAATTCTGTGGCAGCCTTCAGGGAAAGCCCTGTGCGTGTAGATGCGAACAGGACCTCAGCACAGCCAGGACTGCACGTGTGGCTTGACTCATTGCACAGGCAAGTGCAAAGCCTCACTTTCCTGAGGGGGAACTGAGAATACTTTAGGCTAACTACAGCAGAACCATGGTGGTATTTCTGTGACTAGTTGCATGGATTAGGGTGAACAAGGTGCCTCTCAGAGCAATAGCTGCCTTAGGTATCTGGACAGAGAGAAGCTGGCAGGCACTGCATCAAGCAAGGCTCATTCAAGAGAGTTCTTGCAGTGCCTTGATATTGTGCTGATGCTGGGCACTGAGAGGTTTGGAAAGAGGAAATGGAGCCTGTTCATGTCCACATCATTGCTTGAAACTCGGTAATCATCAGCCCCTTTCCCGTGTAGCTGTGCGTATCTCTAGCGTTAAAAAATAACACTCCTGGCCCTGTTTCCTGGAAGATAGATCTTTAGTCCATAAGCTCCTGTCCCAGCCTTGCCTCCTGTGCTGGTTGTGTCAGAGCAAGCCCAGGCAGGATGGCCTTTGCTTGCCCTGCTCAGGCTCTTTGCTCTCAGCCCCATCCCCAGTGTAGCTCAGCAGTCAGGGAGCCTACACACCAGTTTGTGGGTGGAGAACTGAGACACATAAGGGCACTTTAATTAGGGTGGCACAGCGGAGTCTATAACCAAGTTGGAAATCTAACTCTGTTGAGCTACAAAAACTCTCATTCAGACCTTGAGCAAGTCTCT